TGCCCTAAATAGCAGTCTAAATGTTGTAAGTAGCTATTATACAATATGGAATTCTAACCCACAATAGGAGTCCTTAGGTGGTGCAATCAGTTAAGCGCTCATCTACCAACCGAAAGTTTGGCGGTTCAAACCCACCTTGAGGCATCTCTGAAAAAAGGTCTGGTGATCTGCTTCCAAAAGGTCACAACCTTGAAAACCCTATGGAGTGCAGTTCTACTCTGTACACATGGGGTCACCAAGAGTTGGAATCAACTTGATGGTAACTGGTTTGGTTTTTGGTTTTAACCCATAAGAGACTGCAGTGATTATGGATGCAATATATTTTTAGACTTGGAACTTTGGGACACTTCATGAAAGAAGTAAAATGCTATGAAAATACTCACTGAGCACTAAATTAATGAAAAGCATAAGATTTTCCACAGTCCATTCCTCCATTGTGCTGTTCGAAAAATATTAACAGACATAACAATGGCTTGATATACGAAGAAACAAAAAACACTTCTCCTTCACCTCCATATCCTCCCCTAAAGAAAAGTATCTCCATATATCTAAAACAAATAACAAATTGGCTGAGATGGATTGCCAACTCTGTCATAAGTGATCCCAGAAGAGCTGGAATTGCTGCAGTTTCAGTGACTGCCAACTCAGAAGACAGATGTGTGACTGCAGCATTGCCACCAATCCAACCTCGAAATAACGCTGTAAATTTTTACAAAGAGAAAGACAAGAGAGGGAACTGGTACTTGACTACAGTTATTATTAATTCTCAATTATCTATACTTACCAGAAGGAAAACAGGCATAGATAATGTTAAACAATGGATGAATATAAAATGTTCAAACTGGTGAAACTAGCACATGTTCAGATACTCATTCAATACTCTTGTACTTTATCTTTGACCCCTACCTTCAGTCCCATCACTATTCTACACAAGTTAGAGGAAGAAAGGGACCTAGATCTCTATAACTGACTCATGGACATTGAAAAGTTTATTGGACAGTGTAATATTTTAACATACTTAAAGTGTAATGTTTAACTTCCAAATCACTTTTTAAAAGCTGAATTTTTAGTTAAATGATTAATCCTATTAGCCTAACAATTGTTAAGTTTTATAGTAGAAAAAAAAATCTGTACTGACATTAAAGATATTAAATCATAAAAATGTTGCCCAGAGCCTTTTTAAATTAAGATTTTGACTTTAAAATCACAAAAAACTATACAAGATTTCTCTTTAGTAAAGAAAACAATTATAATATTTCTATTGTTAAATAACACGAGTTAGATTTTCTATAACTTTCATTCAGATGTGAAAAAGATTCATTGAGAAGTTGAACTCTAACTTTTCAGCCCACAGTCATTTCAGCAGACATGATCTCATTTACTATTAAAAAGCAAAATTTTATAAAAATTTCCCTTAGATAGCATAACTATCTTGTCCACTGTCCACTACTTGTCCACGTCATTTCCTGATGTGAAAAGGAAAGGCTCCTGGAGTAGGAATGGCAAAAGAAGCCCATAGTATCATCAAGATTTACCAGGTGTCTTCCCATTCTGCATCATGGCCTCCTTTGTCTCAACTGAGAACTTACATAAGATATCGCTGCCTCCCCATCTCAACTAAATTTTTAGCATTAAAGTACCTCCCAGTAATCATTAAGCTCTAACATCTTACTCTTTCTACCTGCTGTTGACTAAGAACTTCACCCAGACACCTGGAACTAACATTCCACACAAAGTACTACCATTATCATAGTTTGAAAACCCTTTTCCTCTACTGTTAAGTACATGATTAATAGCTGTTTTTATATTCAGTGATATGTAACATCAGAATTATTTTAAGAGCATGCCAGTAGAAAGAATACCATTCTGGTAATTGGGAGAGATGGATTCTGGTCCCAGCTCTGCTGCTAATTAGCTGTGTGTTCTTAAAGAAGTCATTTAACCTCTCTGGGCCACAGTTTCTTCATTTATATAAAGTAAATCCCTTCCAGAGGTAATAACCTTAATTTTTTTAGTATGAAAACACGGGCTTCCAGATTTCCTTTACAACAAAGAGGATCCCAGTCAAGAGAAAAATCACTATAATCTTTACAGCCTTAATTACATTTTGACACTCCCTAACTCTACCCAGGAAGCACTGCTCATTGTAAAAAAAATGTAACAGGAATACAATTAATTCAAATTTTGTATAGTCTCATTCATCAGTATTTTCCAGCCACTGACATTTTCCCACAGCTCAGTTGTTCTTACAACTTCTCTAGGTACGTGATTTTCAATGATAATCTACCTGGAACCGCCTTCTCTAGATCCAACTTAATAGTACTTAATAGTTACCTTCTGAACCATATGACCCTTCTTGTCCTGTCTGTCTCTCTTATACACAGTAAACTCTGATAACCAGTTCTTCTACTACCATTTATTGACTATCATGATGGGCCAGGTGTTGTTCAAAGAAAGTTATATGGCAATATAGAATGTAACCTCTTTCTGATGATTCAAAACAGTTTAGAAAGGGATAGGACACTTTTCCTCTAACACAGGACAGAAGGAAGTTAAGATAGATGATGACACTTGTATGTATGAAAGGGAAAGCTGAAGAAGTTTATGTTTGATGGTCTCTATTAGTGCAGAGAATGTGGAATCCAGAATGCCAAATAAGCAAATTTATTGTATTTTAATACCACATCTTAAAAACAGTAGCTGATTGGCTAACCAATCACTTAGGTCTAATTGTACTCCATATTTAGGCAAATTCTATAAAATATATTTCCCCCCAGTTTTTATTTTGAATCTACAGAAAAGTTGAGAGAATAGTAAAAACCAAACACTTGTATACCTTTTACCTAGATTCACCCACTGTTAACATTTTGCCACAAATTGCTCGATCTCTTTCTCTTCACTAATGTTTTTGGCTGAGGCACTTAGAAGTAAACCACAGCCATGACACTTCTTTAAATAATCTAGCATGCATCTTCAAAGAATAAGGATATTTTTCTACATCACCACAATCACCACCAAACCTAAGAAAATGAACAATATTTCCTTAATATCATTTAATATATAGTGCATGTTCAATTTCCCCAATTGTCCTAAATAGTATTATTTTGGTTTTGATCCAGTATCCAATCGAGGTTAACATGGTGGACTTGTTATATCTCTTTTAATCTAGAACAGTCCTCTGATTGTTTTTTGTTTTATTTTCAATGACTGACATTTTAAAGAGTCCAAGCCAATTAATTATCTTATATAACGTCTCATACGTACAATGTCCGATTATTTTCTCATGATTAGATTCAGGTTAAACATTTTTGGTAAGAATACTATATAAGTGATGTTGTATACTTCTTATCACATATCAGGAGCATACAATGCCAAGTTCTCTCAGTATTGATGATGCTGAGTCTGATCACTTGATTAAAGTGGTACTTACCAGATAGCTGTCTTGTAAAGGCATCTTATCTCCTTTGTAATTAGTGACTAATCTGTGGGGTGATACTTTTGAGACAAGTAAATATCCTGTCCCCCAACAATCTTTAACTCAATGGTTTTAGCATTCATTGATAACCCTCACCTGAATCAGTTACTAAGTTGGGGCTGTAAAATGGTGATTTTTCTTATTGAATTATACACATAAAATGGGTGGATTTTATGGCATGTAAATTATACCTCAATGAAACTTTAAAAAAAAATTAACTCAGTCTGTATTTGGTCCCATTTTATGCTAGCTTATTTTTTCTGCCAAGAAATGACTGACAGTTGAAATATTTTACAAATGAGATAGAATTTTCAAGGTCAGGGTGAGCTTTAATAAGTGTTCTGTTGAAATTTTTTTTTAAATGATGGTTTCCTATCACTCCTTCTACAATTATTAGCTGGCATGCTTCTGTAAAGACTTTTCCCTGTACCTCCCATTTCTCTATATTTGGAATTTCACTGCAGACTCATGGGTTTTTTTCACTTAATGTATTGTAATCCTTTACTGTCATTATTCTTTTTGATGTTCAATCCATCCTACTTTGGCCAGTGTGAGCTCCTTCAGGCACAGTCTTGTGTCCTGATATGACTTCAGTACTTTTGAATAATCCTTGATTTCTGGCACAAAAAGTCTCAAGCTTACTCTGTACTTTCCCTGCCTAAGATGTGGGATCAAACATTTCTCCCAGAAGCCTTGGTTCTTTTTAGTGGTATGGTATTTAGAAAGCAAGATCTGGGTGCTGGATGTGCTCATTGCTACTGGGGTGACTGTCATTGCTTCAGAACAAGGAAATAGGAATTTATACTAATATTTGCTATTCAAATTTATAATACAAGTTATTTTTCCTTTCCTTCTTTTATATTTGTATCGCTTATCTTTCAGTGAAAATCTTGGTTTCTATTATAAGTATTAATATACTTATTCATTTTCTTTATCCTACTATATATAAAATAGTAGTAATACTGATATTACAATTCTGAAATTGACAATAAATTGATTAAGAAAGCTTAAGATTTCTTTGCAGCTTTTATCATTAGACCACATCTTAGTAAGGATGCATTGTCAAGAGCACAGTGCTCCAAAGTTATCTGAACTGCATGATTATGTTATAAATTTGTTACACAGGTTGTTTGATTTCAGTTTGTATTCAATTTCAGGATCTGTCTTTTTCCCCCATCCTCTTTTGGGCTTAATTCCAATTTTTGAGTATATAAAACATTTATATGGTCAAAAAGTCAAAACTACATAAAAAGGTATACTCAGAAAAGTCCTGCTTCTATCTCCATCCACCCCATTCCTATGCACCCTCTATTTTCATTAGGTTCGAGTTTATCCTTCCTGTGTTTCATTTTACAAAAACAAGGAAATTACAGTTCTTCAGAACTAATGTAGACAAACCATGAGTTAAGCAACACCCCTACAACTGAGCTCTTATTTATGAGTGCAGTCATGGAGCACACAACCTGACTTGTAGCATATTTTCTACTTGCAATATGTATAGCTTGGTATACAAATAAACTCCCACCTGAGTTTTGATCAATCCTCTGCAGACAGTCCATATGAGCATTCAGAATTTTGCAGATCTGCTGGAGCTAAAAACACATGCCAAGATTTTAATATCTAATTATTTAACGTGGCAAAAAAAAAAGAAAAGAAATTGAAAATCTGGTTAAGAAATGGACTGAGAATGTACTAAATATTTTTTTTAATATTTTATTGTACTTCAGGTGAAGGCTTACAGAACAGATAGTTTCTCATGTAACAGTAGCACACATGTTGTTTTATGACATTGGTTAACAACCCCACAACATTTTAACCCTCTAAATTCTCAACTTTTTTTTTTGTGAAAATACACATAGCCAAAGATACGCCATTTCAAAAATTTTTTTACATACACATTTAAGTGACATTGACTACGCTCTTCTAATTGTGCTGTCATTCTCACTTAAGATGAAGGCTTACAGGACAAAATAGTCTCCCATTTAACAGTTACTACAAATGTTGCCCTATGACAATGGTTAACAATCTCACAACACATCAACAATATCCTTACTCTACTTCGTGTTCCCTATCATCAGCTTCCTACTCCCCTTCTGCCTTCTGGGCCTTGTCACTGGACTCCTGTACCTCGTTACTCTCATGGTTTTACTGGGCTGTCCACTCCCAGGCTGAACAGTGAACCTCGAAGGTAACTTCACCACTGAGCTAAAAGGGTGTCTGGGGGCCATACTCTCGGGGTTTCTCCAGTCTCCTTTAGGCCAGTAAATCTGGTCTTTTTTTTTTTTGTGAGTTAGAATTATGCTCTACATCCTTCTCCAGTTCTGTCCAGAACCCTCTGTTGTGATCCTGGTCAGAGCAGTCAGCGGTGGTAGCCGGGCACCATCTAGCTGTACTGGACTCAGTCCGGTGGAGGCCTTGGTAGCTGTGGACAATTGGTCCTTTGGACTAATCTTTTCATTGTATCCTGTTCTCTTCATTCTCCCTTGCTCCCGAAGGGATGAGACCAGTGGAGTATCTTAGATGGCCGCTCACAGGCTTTTAAGACCCCAGACACTACTCACCAAGGTAGAATGTAGAGCATTATCTTTATAAGTAGTGTCATGCCAATTGAGCTAGATGTTCCCCGAGACCATGGTTCCCAGAGCCCTCCATCCAGCAACTCAGTCCCTCGGGGAGTTTGGATGTGTCCATGGGGCCTCCATGACCTTTCCTTGGAATGTACTAAATATTAATGGATTTTTAACTTTTGCTATTTCTTATCTGCAATGTTCATTACATCTGTATATTAGTTCAATCTAATTATTGTCAAATGTTAAGAATTAAATTTCTACACTTCAATAAAAAACTGACTACCACAGTACAAAAATAAGAACATTGAGAGACATTTCACAAAAGAAATTCATATAAATATTTAAAATATTACCTTTTGTCAACTAAATCAGCAATTTTTAAAAATGGTAATACCCAGTTGTCAAATGTGTTGGGAAAACAAGTACATCCATATACAGCCAATGGGTCATATAAATTTACCCAATCTTTCAAAATATAAATTTTAATATATACCAAAAGTTTTAACAGAATTCATAACTCTTGACTCAGTATATTCTACTTCTAGGAACCTATAGAGGAAATAATCAAATCTAGGCGTAACTGGTCATTACAGTGCTATTTTATAATAGTCAAATATTGGGACTATCTCCACTGATAAAAAATGACTCAGTATATTATGGTAAAGTCATTTCTGATGAAATATTATAGAGTCATTAAAACTCATGTATTCCAAGAATGGTTAAAATTTTGGGAGAAGACCATGCAAGAATATTAAATGAAGACAGGAAACAAAACTCTATACAGGTATGTTCCCAGTGCTGTTTAAAACAAAATAAGTAAGTTTACCAGCACGGCAAAAATACTAGAAAGAAATATACCAACATATTAGCAGGGTAGTGGTAATATAGGTGATTTAATTTTCTTTACAGATATCTATATTTTCCAAATTCTCTATACTGAATATGTACTATCTTTGTAATAAATTAAATACTAAGCATTTAAAACTTTTCAGAACATTTTTGACAAATAATCTAGCAAAGTCCAAGATAATATTGAAAATAGGAAGGAATGGAAATGTTACACTAAAAAGATCAGTATGTAGAGAACATGGTAAATTTAGTGTATTTTAATATAACAAAGAGAAATATAATTTGTAGTAGGAACAATGAGTTTCTATAAGAAAATGTGACTAAATATCATAATAGCATAACACGCACTTGCTTAATAAAAATTTTAAATATTAGGCAGTTTCCCTCTCCCCCACTCTGAAAAAAAAGGGAAAATAAGAAAACAGGTAAATCTCATCACAATGAATACTGGTACAAATAGCTGCTATTTTTCTGCTCTGTCATATGGCTTATAGCAAGGAACCTTTGTTGATCTGGTTACAATAAATTATCTACAAGAATATTACTGTTCAGCAAATGCTTTCTCTGCTTCCCTTCTAATGATTTATTCTGAGGATAGAGCTGAGTTATAGCTGATTTCTTTGGGCTTCTTTTGTCCTGCCATCAAGCAATAATTACCCTTTAATTCGCTCATCTCAAACATCCCAATCACCCCTGCCAGGGAAAATAAAAACAAAAAAGATTCTAACTATTCACTACCCAGTACTGAAAGAAAATAAAACAATCCAGGGTTAAACTGAGAAAAAGGGTAAGGATAGGATTACAGTCTCCTTTTACTATGTCCAGAATATTTCTCTTGTCTTAATTCCCTTTCAGCTCTACTTCATGTGTAAATCTGCATCTATGTATCAAAATTCTATTACAACAAAACAGTTTTGAATTTTGCAATCACAATGTTGTAGCTGTTGGGTACCTTGGAGCCGATTCTGACTCATAGCGACCCCATGTGACAGACTAGAACTGCCCCATAAGGTTTTCTTGGCTGTAATCTTTATAAAAGCAGATCACCTGGTCTTTATCCCTCAGAGCCGCTGGGTGGTTTCAAACAGCCAACCTTTCAGTTAGCAGCCAAGTGCTTAACCATTGCACCACCAGGGCTCTTTTGGAATCACAATAGTGATCTAATATTTCATTAAAAACAAAATCTATATTCTATCAACTCTTGATCATTTGTGGAAACATAGGAAGACGGTAGTATGGATAATCCCAGACTAATTTATTTGGCTTTGTTCAACTTCAGATTCACCCAAAGTAGAGAATGGCATAATTTTTTTATTGTTGTAAAAATATAAATAATACAACATTTGAGAATGGTATAATTTTCATAGATGGATGGGACTTAAAGATCATTTAGTCCATCGGTTACATTATCCAAAAGAAGGAGCCAAGACCCAGAGAGATTAACTGACTTAAACAAAATTCTAATGCTTTCTCAACTATATCATGCTGTTTTTTTATAATTATAAAAGCTGATAATATGTATATAGGTAAAGAACTGTCTGTATATAACTGGACAAGGAGTTTACTAAAGAACTATATATATATATACATATATATATATATATATACATATATATATATGTATACACATATCTCCTTCATCCTCACCTACCCAGACCCTGGGCCCCACTCCTAATTATCATCTACTAATAGAAAGCACAAACTCAAGTACAATGCAGGCAGTCCCTAAGAAATGAACACTCAATTAGCAGCATTTCTTAAGGATACTTGGCTGCCACAGTGGGAAAGTCCTCTGACCATTAACTGCCATGGAGGAGTGGGGAAAAGGAGGACTCCATTTGGCTGCTAAGACAATAGCGGAAGGTAGAGGAAAACTGCTCTTTAGAGTATAAAAACAGACAAAACAAAACAAAAAACCCACAATCCTTTCTTACTGCCAAATTAATTCACAGCATCTCCATTCCCTAATTGGAGCATCTGCTGTACTTTCCCATTATATAACACCTTCACATATTTGAGTAAGATTCTGTAGGTCAGATAGAAACCTAATCAGCACGTTTAACAATGTTTCTATGGAAAAAAATACTTTAAGTCTCAAATAGTTGGCTTATCAAATTTTTAAGATACAGCCTATTTATAAAATAAGAACTGCCTGGACATGCCTAGTGAACTCATACACATATATTCACGTTTATATGAGAATGTAGACAAATATGTAAAGGTAAAAGAATGAACTTTATTTGCATGTGGCTATCCAGTTGTCCCAGGTCCCTGGGTGGCGCAAATGGTTTGCACTTGACTACTAACCTAAAGCTTGGCAGTTTGAAGCCACCCAGAAGTGCCACAGAAGACAGGCCTGCACAAACGAAAACATTCTTTGATGGTTATGGGGTGGGGAGGGAGGGTGAGGGTTATTCACTAAGTAGATAGTAGATAAGAATCATCTTAGGTGAAGGGAAGGACAGCACACACTACAGGGGAAGTCAGCACAACTGGACTAAACCAAAGCTAAGAAGTTTCCTGAATACAATCAAATACTTTGAGAGACAGAGTAGCAGGGGTAGGGGTCTGGGGACCATGCTTTCAGCGGACATCTAGGTCAACTGGCATAACAAAGCTTATTAAAAAATGTTCTGCATCCTACTTTGGTGAGTGGCGTCTGGGGTCTTAAAAGCTTGCAAGTGGCCATCTAAGATGCATCAGTTGGTCCCAAACACTTGGAGTAAAGGAGAACGAAGAACACCAAAGACACAAGGAAAGAATTAGCCCAAGAGACAGAACGGGCCACATAAACCAGAGACTTCATCAGCCTGAGACCAGAAGAACTAGATGGTGCCTGGCTACCACCAATGAACATCCTGACAGGGAACACAACACAGGGTCCCTGATGGAGCAGTAGAAGGATGGGGTGGAGAACTCAAATTCTAGTAAGAAGACCAGACTTAATGGTCTGACTGAGACTGGAGGTGCCCCGGAAAGCATGCCCCCTGGACTCTATCAGCCCTGAACTAAAACAATTTCCGAGGCCAACTCTTCAGACAGGGATTGGACTGGACTGTGGGACATAAAGTGATACTCGTGAAGAGTGTGCCTCTTAGTCAAGTAGATACAAGAGACCAAAGGGGCAGCTTCTGTCCAGAGGTGAGATGGGAAGGCAGAGAGGGTTAGGAGCTGGTTGAATGGTCATGGGGAATGAGGGGCGGAAAGGAGCAGTGTGCTGTTGCAGAATGGGGAGAGCAATTAGAGTCTCATAACAATGTATGTAAAAAAAATTTTGTATGGGAGACTAACTTGAAATGTAAACTTCATTTAATTACAACAATTAAAGAAAAAAAAAAAGAAGACAGGCCTGGTGATCTGCTTCCATAAAGATTACAGCCAAGAAAACCCTATGGAGCAGTTCTACTCTGTAACAAGTACGGCTGCTACTAGTCAGAATCAACCTGACAGTAACAGGTTTGGTTTTGGTTAATAAGTATGTGAGCAAAAGAAATAAATATAGGGACATATCTAGGTATATGAAAAACAGGAAGTTCAAGAGGAAAATTTTGGGAGGCATGAGTCATTTTTTACCCTACAAGGAACAACCACAAAAAATTCACAAATTTTTCTGCCTCTAAGTGTTTCCTACCTCACTAAATCCACATAAGAGCTTCACAACTCTCGTGGCAGGTAAGGAGCAGTACAGAAGACAGGAGGTGACTGGCTAAATGAATCACAGAGCACCAATTTCATACTACATCTTGGTTGTCTAAATACACAAAGCGGTAAACTCACCGGCTCAGTAGTGTCAGCAGGACTTCCAAATGTACTCAAGTGCTCAAGAATGTCCTTGAGATCTTGGGCCATAAGTTTCAGCTGAGCATCTATATTTTCTGCTAATCTGTAACTGAAAGGGCAGGGAAAATGAAGGGATTAATAATAAATATTTTCTCTATCTATACAAGGATGATACTGCCAACTGGCTTTGTCCCAATTGCCCTACCTTCTGCATGGGTCTCAGTTAAGGCCAATGGACATTTTTTATGGACACAGATTTGTGACCTTATTGTTACCATATTTTAAAAGACTCCATAGGTGTAGGTTTTTCTCCATCTCGCCATTTTTACAGTCACCTATTTACCCACTGGTTAATGTTCTGGGGAATTCTGAAGCAAAGGAACTCTTTTTTTTTTTTTAATTGTACTTCAGGTGAAGGCTTACAGAACAAACAGTTTCTCATGAAACACTAGTACACATGTTGTTTTATGACATTGGTTAACAATCCCACAACATATTAACCCTCTAAATTCTCAACCTTTCTTTTTTCTTGGTGAAAATACACATAGCCAAAGATACACCATTTCAAAAATTTCTACATGCACACTTCAGTGACATTGACTACGCTCTTCCAATTGTGCTGTTATTCTCACTTAAGATGAAGACTTACAGAACAAAATAGTTTCTC